GGTGTCGAATCGAGGAGCGACCTTGTTCCTTCGGATCCGAGGATGTCAAGTCATGATTGATGGGTAATTTACTCTTTCGTTTGAGGATGCTGAATCGAGGAACAATCTTGCTCCTTTGGATTTGAGGACGCCAAGTCGTGATTGATGTGTGATTTGCTTCTTCGTTTGAGGATGTCAAATCAAGAAGTAATCTTGCTCTTTTGGATTCGAGGACACCAAGTCGTGATTGATATGTGATTTGCTCATTCGTTTAAGGATGTCAAATCAGGGAATGATCTTGCTGATTCAGATTCAAAGACATCAAGTCATGGTTGATGAATTATTTGTTCTTTCATATGAGGATGCCAAACTAGGAAATGATCTAGCCTCTTCGGATTCAAGGACGCTAAGTCACTTTTGAATTATTTGAGAAATCTTATGAAACTAATTTCTCTTTTGTTTGGATATCATGTCTCTCCATCGAGGCTATCACTTATTTGTTGATTAGGCTATTTCATTCTTGAGGTCTCGTCACATTGAATTTGATTTCCTCAATTTCTTAGGTTTAAATTTTGACTTCCTCTTCTTGAGGTTTTGTCATCACAAATCTTCATCTTTCTTTGAAATATCAACATATATATATATATATATATATATATATATATATATATGCATCCATAAATACAACTATCTTGAACGTTTTCATGGGTGTTAGGATGAAGTTTGTTTGATGCCTTTAATCTTTTAGTACTTTTATGAAAAAGTGATATTTTGGAATTATCCTAATTAGGGGAGAAAATGATTTCAAGAAATAGAATTTGAAAATGTCTTCATGAGAGAAGAAAATGGTCTTACATAAGAAAAAAATTCAAGAGAAAATTTAAAGGCAACCTTATGAGAGAGAAATCAAAACTTTTTTTTACATGGGACGATGAATATTTGTTGTAAAGATGCAAATTCATGTACATATATTTCAATGCTTATGCATTATTTCTTAATCGATGGTCACTAATCGATGCACATAAGATCTTCATCATTTTCTTGATTTGAACCTCTTCGTTCTTTTTCACATTATAGTGTATTTTTGCGCTTATTAGCTCACAATAATTTCTTTCTTGTCCCCAAGAATTTGTCTTTTTTTCACCATAGTTTCTACTCCTAAGCTTTTGAATCGAAGAGAACCTTCTCAATTTACAAGATAACATATCATTCTCAAGAGAAATTGTCTTGTTGAAAATGTTTTCTTTCTCTTTCCTTTTTCAAAATAGCAAAAGGTCAACGAAGAAATTTTGAGAAAACAAATGATGTGTCTTATTTTGGACTCACAATCGAAACAAATTATAAAACATGAGTTCATTGATTATCTTTTAAATCAATTATTCTTTTAATCCTTCAAAAATTATAGCTCTTTAACAAGTATTAAGACTAATGTTGATTTTTAGGTGTAGGTAGATTTGGGAAGGAAAGGTGTTTCGGGTTAACTTATTTGGTCAAGATCTAACACTTCCAGTTCTCTAATGTTCATTGATTTGATGGAGTAATCGTTGTGTTCATCTTCTAAAAATGTCCATCGGCCCCATGATCTTGTGAATACCTTCAGGATATGTGGCGCTTTATCAAGATATTTCCAAGACTACCTATTACGAAATAGTTGCACAATTTTTATATTCTAGTCACATTTTCAAGTTTTCAACTCGAATCATCATTTAATTTCAAAACGCTCTTTATGAGTTTTCATCTTGGACTCCATCCTTTTATCATTCTTCTTATTTTTCTCCATCATTCATTAAAGATTTTAGAAAATATTTATGCAAATAAAAAGATTAACACTAAGTAACAGTCCGAAGATAAATTCTTCCATTTAGAAATTAATGTATGATTAGAAAGGATTTTGTAGGCATATATCATAGGCCAAAGCTCATGGTTATAGAAGAAAATTATAAATATGTCAAAATAAATGTTTAAAGGCGATCAAGCCAATGATCAATTCGTTCGGATATCTTCATTATCACTTCGATCAATTTGAATATACTTTCATATATTTTTCTCTCTTTTTTGTATCCCTCTATACCGCTGATTCATAGATTTTATAACCCATCCCCAAAATATATCTTATTATAGGATACTATTTTCTACTAAAATAATAATATTTATTATTTAAAAACCAACCAATCAAAATCTATTAATATATATACCTTTAATTTATGAACCCGAATACATATATATTTGTATATAAAATAAGTCATTTCAAAATATTCACTCGATATTAAAAAATAAATGTGAGATATCCAATCAATATAAAATATTTCATAAATATTGATAAGTCAACCCACGTATCAAATACACACATACATATAATAATACACAGACTTAATCTCGACTTGGTATTCGAAACAATTTTTGAAATATTCACTCGGTATTCAAAACTATTATGAGATACTTGGTATAAAATAATTTGTAAAAATATTTGATACTATATTCGAAAAATCAGATTTTGTAAAAAAAATAAATCGAATAATTTTGAACATCAAAATTCATTTTATATCAATTGAAATAATAATTAATTAAGATCAAATTCAATTTTCGAAATTGGAAGTGTTACATTTAGTTACTTTGGTGAGAAGATGATCGATCTCTTGAAACAATTTTTGGAGCTCATTCTACTATTCTTACAGTCCCTATCCTCAATGGAGTTGGATCTACTAACGAAGTGTCACCGTCTTTGATAAAAAAAAATGATTGGAAGGATAGTTTAATTGAAGCAAAGTGAAATGTAAGAGAGGAATAGCTGTACCTCCACGCAAAGGGCACATGTCCTAGAGTGCACATGAAGCAGAGTTAGGTTAAAGGACAAGGATGTCAATTTTACCCGAAATCAATGGATTTTGATCCGATCTAATTCAATAGAGTTAGATTTTTTTTTAAAAAAAAAATCAGATTTGAGTCGGATTTTATAAAGGATTAGGTCGGGTCAGCTTTGGGTAGAGGATGGAAAACCTCTAACCCGACCGGAAGATAATTGAGTAATTTTTCATATAAATTTATGGATAATTGTTATAATACTCTCTCTCTCTGTAGTTTTTTAATTAGGTCCTTAATTTATGTCAAGTTATGTCGGATCGTGTTTATACTTCAAAAAATTGGGTTGGCTCGGGTTCGGGTGAAAGGTATATTTTTTTCGGGACAAGCCCGGTATAAGGTATATAACTTTTTAATCAAACCGAATTCATTTAAAAGATATATATTTTTTGGATCGGAATGGTTGACAAAAAAACTCGACCCAACCCTATCAAAGGAGATCCAAAACTTGAATTGTGCTCAAATGCAAAACTACAAGGCGCATGCTGGTATTCTCAATGAAGAAATGTAGTTTATGTATAAAGTAAAAAAGACAGAGTTTGGAGCATTAATTCCTTAAAACGTACTTACAGTTGTAATAAATGGTGTAGATGAGCCAAACTCAGCTCCATGTTTATTTTATATCTGTCTCGGTTAAGACAGATCCAGTTAGGTTTTCCTTCAAATTTATTTTGGCATATCAACTTACTACCACACCAACATTCCTTTAATTTCCAAACGCCTTGTTTTGCACCAAAGTTAAATATGGGATCACAAGTTTTTTTTTTATTAGTATAAAGTGATTATAAGGTAATATTTGTTTAAAATTACTCTTAATCATTTGACAACAAATGGTCAAAATCCGTAAAGACATCGTACTCAACCCCATGACGTGATCTAGGGATAACAATAATCTTTTAACTACTAAGGTCACTTGGTTCAAGACTAAAGATGAACTGAAGAGGCTGAACGGAGACACTTTCTCTCCTTAAGAAATTTAAATTAATATTATATATATATATATATATATATATTATTTTATATGATAATCTGTTTTGCCCATAAAATTTTATGAATTCATTTTCTCTTCATATTTGAAAAGTTTGTTTTTTTAATATAAAATCATATGCTCGTACCTGAACAGGACAAGTCATGCCATTGCACATAGGGCTATAAATGAGACAAGACAGATCGCGAGTTATTCGAGAGCGACTCGTTCAAAACGTGATCTACTCTCAAATCGAATGGACTCAACTCGATCTTGAACTCGACTCAAATTCTTAATAAGACGAAGCGAACTATTTGATACTCGACCCGAAAAACTCGCGAGCAATTCGGGGAAAAATAGTATATTAAATTTTAGGTCTTTTAATTAAATTATCATTAATATTAACATTTATATGTCTTTTAAATATAATATAAGGCTTTCATGTATTTAATGTTCAAGTCTCGAAAGCTTTTGAGTCGAGTCGAACTTCAATTTTTTATCTTGAGTTCGAGTCTAGCTTAACAATTTTAAGCTCACGAGTTTTTAAGTCGAGTCGAACTTAATTTTCAAAATTTTAAATCGAATCGAATTCAACAATACACGAGTTCAACTCAATTTGTTTACCTTCCTAGACTCCTAGTTGCACATTTTAGAATGATAGTGAGAAGGTCATGCTTCTATTTTTATATCTATGCTTACAAAATTATCTGGACAACATATGCACTAATCCATATTCACGTGACAACGTGTGACATAAAAAATGAAGTTGACTTAGCTTTGTTAAATAAAAGAAATAATAGTATCCAAGTTATAAGGATGATATATTATATGGATTTCTTAAGTTTATGGTTATTGGATTCATTAACCCATCCTAAAAGAGAAGTAAAATAATGATAATCATGCGTTTGTAGTGAAGTTGACCTCCCGTTTCCAACAATAATTATTTAAGCGGTGGTGAAAAGATGAAGCGTCTTTAATTTTGCAAAGTGGCGTTGTTGAGGGTTTTTGTGCCGCTTAACTGAGTCGAGTCCATGACTCAGCGGCCTCTTTAAAATCTGCGCCCTGCCCTTCCAAATGAATGTCGAGATTTAATGCTCTCTCCTTCCTTCTTTACAAAATCCACCTTCCACGCCGTCTCTCCGATTCCCCGACTCGCCTCGCTTTTCCTCTTTTCAACCACTCACTTCTCTGTCCCTTTCATGTGACAGCCACATGATTCTCCTCTATTCTTTTCTATAAACTGAAAGAGAAGTCGTTGATGGCGTCAATGGCGCCACCGCCGCCGTTTTACGGCGTTATGGGAGGTGCTGAGAACTTCGCTGGCAATAGCAACAGTAGGACCTTGCATTCCTCTTCGTCGGACGAGAATGTTAAACCCAGCATTATAGCAATAGTTTTAATCCTTTGTATAACCGTGCTTCTCTCCATCTTTCTTTATTTCCTCCTTCGCCACCTCAATCGCCTCTGCTTTCGCTCATCCACCTCCAATATCACCCCCGCCGCCGCTTCGAGTCACCGTGTCACACCAGAACAATCGGTGGAGGCTCCGTTCCTGGATTCTCTTCCTCTGTTTACCTTCTCCGCCATTACTCGCTGCTCCAACAACGGTTCAACGGCTTCAGCAGATTGCGCTGTTTGCTTGTCAAAATTTGAACCGCAGGATCAACTCAGGCTTCTTCCGCTCTGTTGCCACGCTTTCCACGCTGATTGCATCGACGCTTGGCTGACTTCAAATCAAACGTGTCCTCTCTGTCGCTGCCCACTCTTTGCCTCCGAGTCCGATATCCTGAAGGTTATGCTTCAGTCTTCCAACGCGGCATGTTCTAATCGAAGTGGCAGCAGCGATAGCTTTCGGCTCGAGATTGGCTCTATCAGCCACCGCCAATCTGGCTCCTACTCCGGTGATCCTAGAAGAATGTCTTATTCCATTGAATCCTTCGACTACATCGTGGAGGAAGAATCACAGTTGAATAGGAGCCAAACGAACCAAAGAAACATGTCCGATAAGGAAGATAATGTCGGAGTTGAGGCATCTTCGGAAGCGAGCCTCGCCGCTGAGGTTGCCACGGGAAGAAGCTGGCTTAAGGATTACGTCGATAGGCTCTCGTTTTCGTTATCATCTCGTGCCATGTCATTTAGAAGCTCAGGAAGGTTAGTCACCGGGAGCAGCCGCCGAAGCGACGTTTCCGGCGCCGGTGGAGAGTACGACGTGGAAGCCAATCGTATCGGCGAGGAGATAAGCGAAATGTTCCGCTGGTTCTCAGGGGTATAATGGTAAATACGAGTTCTTCCGTACGGACACTGGCATTTCTATATTTTAGGATTTTGGATCGATGATGCACTTCATTTCCAATAGAACAAATGACAGGGAAATAATTGAGAAATGGAGTGTACATAGCAAAAACATTTTAGAGCTTGATAATTTTTACTTTCTAATATGGATTATTATGCTTTGTTAATGATCCGACGGTTCACATTTGACCTTCGAGTGATTACACATTAAATATCTCACATTCCACAAAAGGAGATTATTTGACGAGATTGTAATGCGCATATGTAGTCGGATGCAACAACCATTCAATTTATACACTTACTATATGTGTTTGGGAGATTCCTTTCCACGTTATAACTGCTTGTTCATGTTCATTTACGATTTGTTTTCTTCAAAACAATGTCCTACCTATATGGTGTATAATTTTAAAAGTTATATTATTAGCGCACGAACCAACTCACCTCAGTGGTTAAATGAATCGATGTTCTTCTTAAAGGTCATGGGTCCGAGCATCAGCGCTACGAAGGTGATTGAACGTTCATTGTTAAATGATTGAGAGTGTTTAGAACAAATACTATTTTGTAATCACCTTAGTTTAATCAAAAGAGTTATATTATTAGTGTGTGACCTCAATACTTAATGGAATTATTATTATTCTTTGAGATCACGGGTTCGAAGATCGCATATGTAAGAATATGAGTATTGATTATCAAATAAATGAGAATTTTTGAAAAAATAATACTTTGATTTACTTTAGATTTATAAAAGAATTGATATTATTAACAAAGAAGTTACAAAATTTAATAACTATATATATGTATAATAAAAATATATGTAGACAATATATTTATTTGTTATTTTTTTAAAAAAAATATTTAATTAATTAAATTAAGTCTGACATTAGTTAACAAAATATGTCGAAAGTTATAATAAAACAAAGTTATCATCACTTAGTATTTTAAATTGAATTTTATTTTCAACTTAAACATTGTTGACAGTTATTCACGATGGTATTAAAATTGTGTACAATTATAAGTAATTTTGAGTTAAATTTTAAAGTTATTACATCAAGTAAGGAGTTGTTTGTTTGCCTCTTATTATAATCATTCAGTGCGTTTGTTTTGCATCTCTGAATGATTCAGTACTGACTGATTCAACAAAACAGTGCTAAATGATTCAACACAGAAATACATTCTAAATGATTCAAATCTATTATCAAACAACATGTCACATTCAGAGCTAATTCATACATAGCCTCTGAATCATTCAACAATTGAATCATTCAACGCTTAATCATTCTGAAATAAACAAACATCCCCTAAATATCTTTAGAATTATTATCGATAAGTTGCGAGTTTTAATATTTATTAAAAGTAAAAAAAAAATTATTTGCTTTTCCCTAGGTAAAAATTGTTTTAAAAAAATAACACTAAAATCGTTGACAACTGACAACTATTATTGATTTTGAAAATGAATTCTTCCATTTGAATTAGTCAAAAAAATTATTTAAATTTAAAATAACAGAAGCTGGTTTTAGTAAAATTATTAACAATTAAGAACGGTTATAATCAATGTTATTAAAAAGAATCTATATTTTAATTAATTTACCAATATCTCTACTTTCATGTTATTTAGAGCCTGACTTATTTGTATGATTAACGGATCCGCCTCAACCGGTCACGATAGTTCATGGGAGTAGAACAAATTAAGATGGGTTAGTTTAGAACGTAGTGATGAGGTTTGTATTGTTTTAGTTAAAATTGAAATGTTGGACATTTATGGTAGTGGTTGTTCCTTCTTCTTTTTTAATCAATGATTATAGTTATGGTAATAGTTGGATCGACAAATGCACTTTCATGCACAAATTATCTTCAATATAATTTAGCTAATACATATATCGTATGATTCTGAATAAGAAAAAATTAATAAATATAAATCTCCTAATTATTTTTTAATCAAATAATAAATTGAATAACAACTAAATGATTTTTTAATGGTTTAGCCTCTTATTTAGTGATTTTGTTTTGTTCAAACAATACTGAATAAATGAAAGGAAAAAAAAAAAGAGTGGTGGTTTTGTCATGGAGTGTTATGCGCCCATGTCCGGTTCACAAACAGAGACGAGAGAGAGAGAGAGAGAGAGAGAGAGAGAGAGAGAGATCAAATAATTGCAACTGTCTCAAATGTTGAGCTAATTTCATTTTTGGCAGTAAGGTTGAGCAATTTGATGTCCTCAGTTGTACATGTAATAACATACGTTGTCCTTTTTCTTTCATCCTTAATTGTTTGTTTCTGCTTCTGGTTGCAATTAACTACTTCCGGTTGTGTTTGTTACAAGTAAATGACCTGATTAATTAAATTATTATTGATTTTATCTCCTTTATTGAAATTTCCAATACATATTCTAAAAACATCTTTTGTATATGTCATTTTTGTGCGTATATAGGGTGGTAAAAACACTCATACTGCATGGGTTTAATCTGATTTAATTAAATTAATTCATGAAGATGTATTTTTATTTTATTAAATATTTTTTTTATTTTTAATAAGTATGTTATTATGACACATTTTTCTCGATCTTTATGATATGTTTCATTATGTCTTTTGACATGTGTTCGGACGTTTGACCGTTAATTTTGTTTATCTTTGTTGTTTTAAGGCTGAACTTGATATTGCCACAACTGATCGATATGACGTTTATTTGTTATCATATTAATTTTTCATTCTTTGAATCATTATATTTGATTTCGATACGCGATTTACGTTCGTGGACAGTTTTCTCACGTCACTTGATTCTATTTTATGATTTTTCGGTGGTCTTTCAATATTTTAATCTCCTTTTATAGTTCGCTTGTCAATGCGATCATATCTGCTCATAATTAGCTTTCATTTGAGTTTATTTGGTTAGATTTTTTTAGTATTCCCCCTATAGTCATTGTGTGATATTAAGTGATTAGTTTCTTGTGTTAATGATTATAGAAAAATTGTCTTTATTATATATTTAGTTTACGGTTGTAAACAATCATTGTAATTTGAATATTTTTTTTCTATTTTTAATAAAACCAACCGCTTCTATCTTGTAAAAAAGTTAAGTCTTTCAGAATAATTTAAATTTGGATTGAATTAATTTGTGTAAAATTTTATATTGATTGAATCAACTATATAAAAGAATTGTCTTGTATCTTTGATAATTATAAATAAATTATTCTTTATATTTATGTATTATTACTTAGATTTTGACAAAGACATTAAAGTCTAACGTGACCAGCACTATCATTTGGGTGTCTCATTAAAAATATTCGTTATATGACATGTATCACGTTTATAAAATGTTCGTTATCGTTTAGGGATTTAAGATTTTTTTTTTGCAATTTTAGAGAAATTCATATTTTTTTTAAATATAATAATAATTTTATTTTTTAAATAATTCTTTTAAAAAATGTAAATGTGACATGTTTCATATAACATGTTTTTTAGCAGCTGTTACGACGTAGACACTTAAAATAATAACTCGAAAACGTTAGTCACTTAAATTGACTGAAAAAAATGTAATCATCTAAATGAGAAAAAAAAATTTGTATTAAACCTATTAAAAAATAATAATTCAAGAAAATAAATAAAAATGGAAGGTTTGTTTGGAACTGAATAATGGATTGCATATTTTGGTGGGAAAAGGAACAAAGTGGGCTTAATAGTTGAAGAAATAGTGAAATTGGAAGGTACAAAGTTATTCCAATTATTTATCCCAAAAAAAAAAAGTTATTCCAATTTTCAACCCTAAATGTACTCTCATCCAAAGTGATTTTGTATGTGACATTAACTCGGTTAGAGCACTTTAAGCATAGAATTGTATATACACGATGGTGGGGTGTAATTAAGAAAATAAAAAGAATTATATATCCAAGAATTATAATTAACTTGTACGTATCAAGTTTAAATTCATTGTCTTCGCTAGTTTTTCCGCAAATTTTGGAACATGTTCTAACAAAGTGAGATAACAAATGACTAGAACCAGAAAATATTATGCATTGTTATGGTCTACCATTACAAGTGAGATATAAATCGTGAAAATTCGCCTTTCAACTTGGATGTTTTGATTCTTAAACTTTATATCTTTTTAAATTATTAAATATGATGACGTGATAATTCGACAATTAATTAAATTATTGATCTGTCATTTATTAATCAAGGTAAAATAACTCATTGAATTCTTAATAATTTTAAACATCTATTCATTTATAATAATAGTAAAAGAAATTGGGAAGGAAAACAATTTTTTCCCATAAGATAGGAGTCAGTTTTGTTAAAAATATCCTAATAATAATGAAAGTTTACAATCACAACTGTATACTAAGGCCATTTCCAGCCCTCATCTCTACTCTACAATATCTATATCTCTACTCTAAAGATGAAACAATAATTAATCTCCAGCACTATCTCTACATTATCACCAACTCTACTTTATTCACAATATTTAACTATTATACTATTGATTTTACAAATATAAAATAAAACATATACATTTCTAATAAATATCAAGATAAAAAGTATAAATAAAATATTCATAAATAATATTACGAAAATACAAATAAATAAGAAAATTACTATTCATAATAATAATGCGAAAAAACATAAGTTACTTAATTATATATTTTAATTCTCCAAATTAAAATATTCATTCCACAAATTAACAAAAAAATAAAATAACAAAAAAATAAGACTCTACTCTAGAGATGAGCTACAATGTTGCGCTAAATATAGAGTATTACTGTAGCATCTCCACATTCCATACTCTATTCTAGAGATGGGCTGGAGTTGAAATTCATCTTCAAAGTAGAGATTTTCTCTACTTTGAAGATGCATTGGAGATGCCCTAAAACACATAATAAGAACATTTTATTATAATCATTAACATTAGAAACTAGTCGCTTAAAATCACAGAAGGACCATATAAGAAAAAAAATTAAAAATCTAACCAAATAAAATTTAATAAAAGGTAGATACGAACAAATCTGATCGCATCAACAAACGAATCATAAAATGATATCAAGCTATTGAAAGATCATTAACAAATCACAAATCAAAATCAAGTGACGTGAAAAAATTATTCATGAACGCAAATCGCGTATCCAAATACAATATGAGAGTTCAGAACTAGGAAGATCAACATGATAAAAAATGAATTACATCTTGATCAGTCGTGACGATGTCAAATCCAACTACAAGAAAAATGATAAATGAAAATAACGATCAAATGATCGAAAATGTGACAAAAGATGAAGAAAAACATGTCATAAAGATAAAGTTATTAAAAAATAAAAAAAAAACTAAAGATGTGATATAATAAAACAAATAAAGACCGATGATCGACTATCAACATTAAGATTAATGTGACCGTTAATTACATAGTTAAAGAGAGAAAAATTACGACAACGTAGGAAAAAGATAAAAAAAAATTAGGGTTAAAAATCCTTTACCCTCGAAGGAAAGCAATATTTAGTTGCACATCATTTTAATTTTTTGGCTTGTAAGCAACATTTAATGTTGGAGCAATCTCATTCTTTAATGTTGGGCAAGCATGTTTAGAGAGGCATCAGAAGCGTGTATTGAAAACCAAAACACAAGTAACGTAGCAAATCATTCTTTGTAACCAAAATCATAATTCTCTTATTCCCGATATGGGAACCAAAACACAACTAACCTTTCAAATGCATCTTTACGGATTTTAGGCTTCATATAAAAAAATTACTTAAATTATATATTTTTTCATTTATGTATCTAAACTTTTTTCCCGATCAATGTAAGTATTTAACGTTTTTAACGTTACATTTTTAAATATTTACGTCGTAATAGTCGTTAAAAGAATCATTAACGACACATGACGGTGTTTATAGAATTTTAAAACTTTTAGCTTTAAAAAATAAAAATACTATTAAAAAAAAGTAATCCCAGTTCCCCCGACCAGCATCAGGCCATGTCCCCTTCCCAAATTGGCAACAGTCAATAGGTGGCCAAAAAATGGCCGACTGCCACGGATGGCCAAACAGCCGTCTGCTACGATTGGTCAAACGGTTGAATGTTACAGTCGAACAAAAGGATTTAAGGGAGTTGGATGGTTGAGATTTAAGTTCACGAATTTAGGGTTTGAATAAAAATAGTAACATTTGTAATATTAGATGTATATTTTAATCGGAAAAAAGTTTTAAGTAATTAAATGAGAAAATATATAATTTACACAATTTTCTCTATATTAAGCCTAGATATTTGCTTTCGAATTTGGTGCAATTACATGATCCTGTTAATGAAAAATTTTGAAAAAAAAAACTAATGATATTAACTATTAGACTAAAATAGAAAAAAAAAGGAAACTATTAAAAATCAATAAATGACCAATTTTAATTGGACAAGAGAATCCTCCCGTACGTATATAAATAAGTGTTTATGATGTCAAAGACCAACAACCAAAATTGAAGAAAAGAAATGAGGCAAAGGTCGTCTTCTTCATTGGCCATCCCTCTCTTCCTCTCCTTCTTCCTCTTGATTTCCACTTCAACCTCCCACAGCTTAACCTCTACCAACAGCAGTCTCATACGCAAAACATGCAAGAAATGTGCTGAGAGCGACCCGAATCTCAGCTACGATTTCTGCGTCACCTCTCTTCAAGCAGCTCCCAACAGCCATTGCGCCAACGATCTTCGCCAACTCGGAAAGATATCGATCAAGCTGCTCCGTCGTAACTTAACGAATTCCAGGTCTTACATCAAGGAGCTCTTGAAGAACAAAAAGATGGATCCTTTCGTCAGATCATGCTTGCATGACTGCTTCGATCTTTATTCCGATGCTATTCTTACGGCCAAACATGCCATCGAAGATTACAAGGACAAGCGATATGACGATTCGAATATCGGTGTGAGTTCGATCATGGATGCTGCCACGACTTGTGAAGATGGGTTCAAGGAGAAAGAAGGTGTTGTTTCGCCATTGACGAAGAGGAACAACGATATCTTTCAGTTGTCTGTTATTTCACTTTCCATTATCAACATGATTCGCTTGAATCATGGTTCCATTTAATTGTTTTCTTGTTCTTCTAAAATAAATTCTGAGGCGTAACTTGTAATTTATCTTTGTCCTGAGGTTTGAATTAACTACCCTGATATATTAGTGTCTTGATAAAGGAATTGGGCAGCCAATTTCTCTTTGCTTTCTACTGCCATCAATTGTCTGCTCTTTGGTTTGCCCCTTCAACAACTTGAACCCCTAAAAGGAAACGATATATTATTACCACCTACAAACATATGACTTACGCGAACCTTTAGTCCCACGAATTCTTAAACATGAGAATATACGACTCATGCAAACCGTTAGGTACGAGAATCCTCAAATACACAAGGCGTATCAGCGAACTACTAACAGTAATCATGTGTCAATCATCAATTATATCACGAGCATCTCCTGTGTACGATCGCTAGCGACCACGTGTTGATGCACATGGTCTCTTTTAATAATAAGCTAGTTTAAGTCATAACTTCTTAGGGTGTCCCATCAAAATCTATGTCACGACAATTTTCATTGAACACATCTGTTTAGGACATTATAAATAGTCATGCAACAAAGAGTAAGGGAACGCATACACTTCCTCTCAAAAAGACCTGACTCCCACCACCTAAAAACTCTCCGATCACTATCTATAGTTTTTATCTACTTCACACATCATATATATATATATATATATATTATTAGGATCCACTTACATTATTACGTAAAACTCTTTTACTTTTACAAAAATTTAAGTTCGTTTTTATTGAACTGTCTTCCATCATCTTTGTCACGTTGGCCAAAGACTCTCCTACGTGGTAACGCCTTCGATAAGGCTCTCCTTAGAGCCGTCGTCTTTACCTTAAGTAACCAAAATAAGTGTCATTCCAAAAAATAAAGATAATTAAGAACCATTTCAGTAGAAAAATATTATATGGGTATAACTCTAATAATCTTACCCAAATAATTTATAATTTCAAAATTAAAAGGTATATTTAACCCCGTTTAGCAAAAATTAATACAATAAAGTTACATTTTTTTTATCAGTATAAGATGATTATAAGATAATATATGTTTAAAATCTTTCTTAAAAATTAATAATGCACACACCTTATAAACACCTTCACATATCTACTAAAAGTTCAATACATCTAAACATAACAACACTTTATTTAACCATCAAAATTATTTGATGAGTTGAGCTTTATACTTTTAATGCTATTAATTTTGTAAAAAGAAAATATAATGTAATAGAAACATGTGGAGAGGGAATCCAAGACGGCAGAACTTGAATTGTTTTGATGTTGAAAAAGTGAAAGTTGCTTTGTTTGGACTATGTCTCTTTAATTTATTTTTATTTTTTTTCTGGTGAATGTAAACAAGTGCCAAAATTCATTCAGCTTTGAAGCAACCTACTTTCCTCAATTTCTTTATCGACTGTGCTATAATCTCCTCCCTTCTTGGGAAAAAAAAGTTGAACTCTTGAAAACCCCAATGATATACCTGTATTCCAGAATTAGAGGTAAACGCGTGGTTTAATCTCGCCGCTTCTTTTAATTATTGTTTCCAAGAATAAACAAATCTTTTTGCTGTGCCTGATTCCTTAATTTATATTTCTTTACTAGTTCAGCAGCTTTATCTTCTTCTTCTTTTTTGGTGGGGGGGGGGGTTCTGTAAGAAGAAATTCTGCCCAGAAAAGCTTATCTTTTGGTTATGTTTTTCTATCATGAATTTAAGCTCCTAATTTAGGGGAAAAGTTGACACTTTTATGATAATGTTCTATGCTTGGTTTGATTATTTTCTATTTCTCTTAATCAAACTTATGGAGTAAAGTTAGCTTTTTTCTTAGATATTTTGTTTTGCTGATAATCACAGATTCAAGTTTCTAAGCATGGAAGTCATCTCATACAATTCCCCTCCATGCTGTAATTTAAATCGGAGGTTACTAGCTAAGAAAAGCACAACCAGACAGAAAGTAAAGATCCCTTTGTGTAGAAAGCACATAATTTTGTGCACTAGGGTTCAATTTAGAAGTGGGTCACTGGAATTATCTAATAAACATCAACTGTTTTCGGATAATGTTTATCATGGGAAAGATTCAAGGTCATTCAGGGCTCTTGAAGGGTTTAACCATGGTGAGTCAAAGGTGTTGAGTGGGATTTATGATAGTTATGTGATTGGTGGTGAAGATGAAGTTGGGGAGATGTCGAAAAATGGGGAATCGTTACCTAAGGTTTTGATTCCAGGGTTGCCTGATGAGTCCAACGGTGAATGTAGTGCTCAAATATGCAGTTGTTTCTGGGAGTGGAAGCCCAAATTCAATGTGCATTATGAGAAATCGGGTTCCGAAAATGTGAATTCCCCGCCGGTGCTCTTCCTTCCCGGTTTCGGTGTTGGTTCTTTTCATTATGAAAATCAACTGAAGGATCTAGGCCGTGATTATCGGGTTTGGGCTATTGACTTTCTTGGCCAAGGCATGTCATTGCCTTTTGAAGACCCCACTTCCTCTTCCAAGGAGAAGGGTATCACTGAAGGGAAGGATTCGCTGTGGGGATTCGGGGATAAAACTGAACCGTGGGCAACTGGTCTGGTTTACTCTATAGATTTATGGAAGGATCAGGTTCACCATTTCGTAGATGAGGTACAATTTACATATCAACTCCAATACACACTAATCTACATGTTTGCATACATGTTATGTACCTGCAGTACTTTGTACATCTTCATTTAGAATTTACTGGCATGCATACATGATTTCATGCTGTACTTGCTCACTGTTGTTCTAATTTGTCTTCAAGGTTAGGGAAGTCCTATTCATATGTGAAAACTTGTTTCATCTTAATGTTGTTTTAGTTTGTGCGGTTGCTAATCTTTCCCGCACAATATTGTTTTAATCTGTGTTTGCCGACTCATTTGCATGGGGTTTGTAGTTTTTCTACTCTTCCACTTTGAAGAGAACTTATTTCTGGTTGGAGAACACATTAATTGGGAGAAGAGATTCACGTCCAAGTATCTATCTCTTAAGGTTGAAATGCGTTCTGCATCGACACTTGACCAACTTCCGACTTTAGCGAGGAATTCTAGTACTCTAGCTAACATGGCTTTAGGATTATGAATTTGTAATTGTTTAACTCTTTAGTTTCAGATAAATGAACTGCAAAGGCGTCATATTAACGTAAGCTCTTTCTCTCACAGGTCATTGGGGAACCGGTTTACATTGTCGGGAACTCACTCGGAGGATTTGTTGCTCTGTACTTTGCAGCATGCAATCCTGAATTAGTGAAAGGTGTTACACTACTTAATGCAACTCCTTTTTGGGGATTTTTTCCTAATCCAATAAAATCTCCAAGGCTAGCAAGGATATTTTCATGGTCTGGAACGTTTCCTCTACCAGAAAATGTCAGGAAGCTGACAGAATTTGTGTAAGTTCTTTCTTCTTTTTATTACATGATATGACCTTCTCACCATGTAAATTAACATTCCATCACCCTGAAATGTTTAGAAATGTGCATTTTAAACGCATAGATGTCATGCATTAGTAATTATCGTATTTGAGGTTTCCACTTGGGAAAGTGATAAGAGTGATTGTGCAATTGTTTTCTTCGGTTTCTTTACTTGAAATCTCTTTGTGCTTGTTCTTAACTTCTTTTTCCGCCTTTTGATTTCAGTTGGCGAAAAATAAGTGCTCCTGAAAGCATTGCGGATATACTTAGACAGGTTTATGCAGATCATTCTATAAATGTTGACAAAGTCTTTTCTCGTATTCTTGAGACAACACAACACCCTGCTGCTGCTGCATCGTTTGCTTCCATTATGTTTGCTCCTCAAGGAGAGCTGTCTTTCAGGGAGGCTTTATCGAGGTGGGTTGTACGAAAATCCTTTAACTTGTATATCCAAATCCATGTACTCTATGTGGAAAACATAGCTATCTGCTTCAAGTTATCGATCATGTTCCTATTTTTGTTGCTTTTAGGTGTCGTATGAACAATGTGCCTATTTGTCTCATGTATGGGAAAGAAGACCCCTGGGTAAAGCCTGTCTGGGGTCTTCAGGTGAAAAAACAAGTTCCCGAAGCTCCGTACTACCAGATCAGCCCAGCGGGTCACTGCCCTCATGATGAAGTTCCTGAGGTTTGCTTTTTACATCTTATACTGATAATCATTCATTTTGGCATATGTTATTACATTTACGTTGTACAATGAAACCGCTTTCAGGTTGTTAGTCGTAAAGACGAAACGATTGCAAAGAACAATGAATCCATCGGATCGAGCATAAGTTTCTGATGGTTGTTGTACTGATACAGGTGGTGAATTATTTGACTCGAGGATGGATAAAGAACTTGGAATCGAAGGGTGCGGTTGCGTTGCCTTTACTTGATGATATGGAAATGGCAAGTATTCAGAAAAGTATCAGCAAGGGCTTGGAATTTGTGAGGGAAGGATCAAAGAAATTAGTGAGGGTGCGGATTTTAGGATCCAAATTCTCACTCTGGGACTTTATCAAATCATCCTTCAAATCCAAGCTTCAAACCAAATCGCCATAGCAGATGATGTCAATTTCAGTGTATTTATACCCAAGAAGTTGTCATTTCTTGAGGTTTCGGGTTCGATCATTATAAATATTAGGGGTATAAGTATTCAATATCAAATTGTTTAGAGTTATCTTTAAACATATATTATCTTGTATTTATTCCAAATTAATAAAAAAATGTTTTTAAAAGTCTTTGCTTTTAGAAAAGGAATGTTTCATTTTCGATATCACTCGCGAGCATCAAGGACGGATATATAATTTTATGTTAGAGGGTGAATTTTTAAAATTTTAGAAAGAGATGAACATATAAAATTTTATGTGATAAAAATAAATTATCAATTTAAAATATAAAAAAAATTATCTAAAATATATATTAATATAAAATTTTAAAAAGACGATTACCCTCGTCCGTTTTCTTTTGATTCATCCCTGGTCGACATTACTCATGTCATGTCATGGTCGGATCTAAATTTAAGTAATCATTATTGAATTTATGATTTGAAGTTTGTTTTATTTTACGTGTAATGTGATTTATTTTATAAAAATATAAACTTGAAAGAAAAAAATATATACGATGAATGCGAAAATTTTCGGATCACAACTTACTATCAATAGTTTTATTCAACTAAATTAATGTAATCATACAAATATACATGTATATAAAAGATTTTAAAATTTGATATATTCTTTTATTATTTTCATGTCATAATATTTTTTTTTTGTTTCTATATGTGATTGTTTAAAAAAAATCAATATGAAGTTGTGTGTTATTAATTTTTTTTATTGTTTTAGTATAATTTAATCATTATCCTTGCCGTCGTTAATATTATCCGTTCAAAACTCAAACTCCATGAACAAAGGCTTCATTGTCTAGTTTCATCTTTAAATGCAATATCCACATTTATCTTCACAGCATCCACTTCATTATTAAGGTTAAGTAAAACCGAATCGTCTTAGCTTTGTTTTTTTAATTTAATTTGAAGTTAAAGAATTTGAATTAATTTGTAATTTCATAAATTTAATACGACTTGAAAAATTAAAATAAAATTTGAGTAATAAAATAATATTCGAATAACTCAAACTTTTTAATAATTAATGGATTAGTTTACAAGTTGTAGTTGAATCTCTCAACTCTGTATGATATATGTATATTATTTTGAAAAATATATAAAGAAATATATATGTGTATTATATATAACTAGAGAAAGTATTTTAAATTAGAATCAATTAGTATCTTACATTATAAATATTTATAATTAAATTTAAACAAAAACTCAAACAATCGACTCAATTTGAATTTTATAAACCTGACTCAAAAAAAATTAAATAAAATTTAAGTTATAAAAAAACTGATCAACTCAATTCACTAAATTTTTTTTACTTGAGAATCGAATACATAGTCCTATCCATAAATGTAGAAGCATCGGAGTGTGCCCGTACAGTTTTGCACATTTATCTTTATTCTTTACAGCATCGACCCCATTACGGTGAAAAAGGGATTGGAGTGTACCCGTACAGTGTTGCAAATATAAATGGAATAATTTAGGCCCTCAAACTTTACTAATTTAATCATTTTAGTACTGTATTTCTTTTTCTATTAGTTTAGATTATGTAAGATAATATATGTTTAAAAGACTTAATTATTTGATAATGAATACTTAATCACCCCTGTAAAAGTCGTGTTTGAACCCAAGATCTTCAGAAAAAAATATTTTTTTAACCACCAAGATCGCTTAATTCATACTAGTATTGTATGTTTATTCTTTTTATTAGTCTGAGGTGATTATAATGTAATATTTTTTTAAAAAAAATTAACCATTTAAAAATAAATACTCAATCACTCTTATGACATCATGTTTAAATTTGAAATCTCTAAAAATTAATTATTATTTTAACTACTAAAATTCCCTCTAAGTTGTGCTAGTACTGCATTTCTTAAATCATGAAATTCTTGAGGACAAATAAAGAAATAGGCCTATGAAAATACAATATTCATTAAAGAAGTCAAGCCAATGAAAATAAAGCTAACCTAACCAACATAAAATTACGGGGTTAATATTAAAACAAGTGTCCGAATTATATTTCTTTTCTTATTTAAGTGTTTAAACTTTTTTTTATCAATATATATGTTTAATATTACAAACGTTATTATTGTAACTGCCACGACTATGATAATTGTTAAAAGATTATGTTAAGTGACACGTGTCATTATATAATTTTAAAATTTTTATTTAGAAAAAAAATTAAAACTATTAATTTTTCAAAAAAAATAAAACTATTAATTTTTCAAAAAAATTCTATATTCTTTTAAAATCCCAATAAAAAAAGTCCAAATCCTTATAATCATTCATTCCAAACCTCCATTATCAACCATCTTCTACTACTATCGCCTAACAACTACTCACCGATCACCGTCCACCCATTGACCGACGTCGACCTCAAACTCTTAAATCCCTAATCAAACCCTAAATATTTGTCTCTTACCCTACTAGCCGTTGTTCATCAGCTCTCTTTGAAAAATCAAAATTATGGGTGCATGAACGGGGGAGGGAAAATTAGGAGAGGGTTTCATAATGAACTGGGAACAGGGGAGGGAGGGTTTCAAAAATCACTTTTAATTTTATTCTTTTAAAAATAAAAAATAAAATTATATAAACGTTATTTAACAATGAAATTTATTTAACGACAAAGAGGTGAAATAGTGTTAGCCAACATGTAAAGTAAAGCAGACGCAATGAATGGCATAATTGTAGGTTAAAGAACTCCTTGGTTTGGGATTCCAATTTGGCAATGTCCCATATCCATAAAATTTGCCTTTCCTTCCAACGCTACATGAAAAGAATAAAAGAAAATTTACATTTTCCCAAATCTCGAAAGCCTTCAACTTTTGCTCTTCATGCACGGCCTTGAGTCTCGAGTCTCGACTCGTGCCTTAAGATTTGAGTTACCATTTCCAGTTTCGCAATAACTCGCTTCAAGAATTAAGACCCAGAAATAAAAAATCCGACTTTTTTGATGGGGTATCTTTCTTGCAAAGAGGAATCTGCAGTCTCTGTAATTTCCTCTTCCACAACAACCCACAATTCATCGTCTTCAAAAGCTGCCACCGACAAGCAAGAAAACCCCATCAAGATCCAACAGTTCGATTACTGTGACCTTGAAGCAGCCAGTAAGGGATTCTCCGATCAAAGGCTTCTAGGCAAAGGCAGCCATGGCGCCGTCTACAAGGCTGTTCTCAGGGGATGCCACGTTGCCATCAAGAGGCCTTCTTCCTGGAACCAAGAAACCATCCAGGAAGCCGATAACGAGATCGAAATCTTGTCAAACATTCGGAGTCCCGGATTGGTTAATATTCTCGGTTTTTCTAATGACGCTAAAGATCGGTTATTGGTTGTCGAATCCATAAGTAATGGCACATTATATGATGTTCTTCACTCCAATTCTTCAAGGCCTTTGAATTGGGGTCGCAGAATTCGATTGGCTTTGCAAGTTGCCAAAGCCTTAGAGACACTTCACTCACAAAAATTTCCGATTATCCATAGAGATGTTAAGTCTGCAAATGTGTTGATTGATAGGAATTTCAATGCAACGCTGGGTGATTTCGGGTTGGCACTTAGGTGTTGTGTTGACGATTATAGGCTTAGATCAACCCCACCGGTTGGTACCATCGGGTGTCTTGATCCATGCTATGTGACCCCTGATACTTTTGAGTATAAAAACTGATGTTTTTAGCTTTGGGATCTTGTTATTAGAGATTATAAGTTGTAGAAAAGCTATCGATGTTGTGCATTCACCCCCTTCGATCGTGGATTGGGCAATTCCTCTTGTGAAGAAAGGGAACATTGTTGCTGTTTATGATCCAAGGATTGCGCCTCCCAAGGATCCTATAGTTAGGAAGCAGTTGGCCGTGGTAGCAGCTAAATGTGTGAGGTCTTGTAGGGAGCGACGCCCCGCAATGAAAGAGGTCGTTGGTTGGTTAACCTGTTTAAGCAAATTGGTTCCTCTACATACATGGAATGGTTTCAACAATCGTGTATGATGGTGGGAATGATGGGGCGTCCGGTCAAATCTAGGAACACCAAAGAGGATTCGGATGCAGTCAATGGTACATTTGCCACCAAGGACTCACACAGCCTATTCCGATTTAGGCTTTAGGAGCAACTTGATGGAACTCATGGGCATCCCTAGTATCGACGTGGGGGAGGCTGATGCATCTTCTAGTCACAGATTTGATAACAAAAGATATGGTAGCCAAGGGAGAAGTTGACAAAAGAATATTGGAAGCGAGAATGCTGTTTTCGGTTTGAGGAGGAACCATTCGACCGGAGAAAGTAGTGAGCTCTTTTCAGGGTAAGGCAATGTGTTGATCATGAAAAATGGTCTACATTGAAATGATTGGCAATGGAGAGTTAGAACTCATCAATGTATACTTGAGGTTTGTTTTGGTGATTTCAATCAATTAAGTTGTTTAAAATTGTTAATATGTTGGTGTTCATTTTGAATGTATATGTTGATTAGGACAATGCTAATGTCCGTTTGATGAAAATGCTATTGGATCCAATGTTAATAACTTGAATACTGATTTTGATGTTATCGTGGGTGATCAAAATTTAATGTTAGATAGGATTTTAAAATAAAAAATGATTGGCTGACGAACAAAAATGAGAGCTAAAATAATCGATTATGATGGGCCATGATATATTTTAATGTTCTTTGATGTTATTGTGGAAAATCTAAAGAAACTAGTAAGTTATTTGTTAAGGTGGGACCTTAAAGTTGGAAGTTTGTACGGGAAAATAATAAATATGGACAATAAAGTTGGCAGTCAAAATTGCAATAGGAAAAACGAAGCAACGTAGACTAAAGCAAATCTCATTGTTAATTCAGATTGAGGAGTGGTTCTTTGGTTAGTAAAGTTGCCTAGGGAAGAGTCATATTGTGGACAACACGATCATAATGGAAAGACAGAGGAATGGAGAAAAATATCAAATGAACTCTAAATGACAGGAATTAGGTTGCATTGAAGTTGTCTGTCCAAGTTGGCTACTTGGGTCCATTGTGTTAAGTGTGAGCATCATAGGGGT